TGCCATATTCACATCTGCCTATTCACATCTGCCATATTCACATCTGCCTATTCACATCTGCCTATTCACATCTGCCATATTCACATCTGCCTATTCACATCTGCCATATTCACACCTCTTATAAGAATTGCTGATGTGAATGCAAAATTATGAGATTCGTTTTAATTACTGGGCACAACTTTTTCTAGTGAATATCACCTATAATTAATATATAATTACCTTTTGTCTTACAAGGTTATAGAGTGTCTTTATCAAAATAGATGGACTGCCATAGATGGATTAGGTGCCCTTATTATATCACCTACAAGAGAATTGGCTTATCAGACATTTGAAGTACTTTGTAAAATTGGCAAACATCATGATTTCTCTGCTGGATTAATTATTGGAGGAAAGGTAAGTACAAACTTGTCATATTCATATTATGGGATATCTTTGCTTTGTGGTCGTTTTCTAGTTTCACTCTTGTAATTAAAATGTAAACATTCATATTTAAAAAATATGGGATGACACCCTATTTGCTTTGTGAATTAGGCAAAATAATAAAAAGGCTTCAGGTAACCCGACTTTGCCTAGATTTTTGAATAAAAATGTCAACCTGTACATGCAAGGTGTATTTTGAAAAATACTCTCAAATAATAGTATGGGCCAAGTGGCACTGTGGACTAATAAATTCAGAATAATTGATTTTCATAAAATAAAAAGGTATATTAAAAAAATATTTCTACCTACAATACTAGAAACACACTTGTCTATTATTTTTATTTGGCCTCAACCTGGGGCTAACACTCAACACTTATATTTCATATTTGTCTTAAAAGAGACAGTGTGATTACCAATGTTTATTGTCGAGCCAAACAAGAGCCTAGTTCATTCCAGTTCCTTCAGATCATAACGGAACGGGGCCCACAAAAACTTAGTATGAAACAACATGGCTGAAAATGATTTTTGTGTGAAGTTTGTCAGAGCGACAGAGAATATACTATATACTCTCCTTGAGAAACAGATATGCTCAAAGAAGACGACCAAGGATGCAGTAAATGATTATTGCCTAACGTCGTCGCCAAACATCTCTTATTTGGATGCTATCATTCGTTCTTCTACAGTTGTCCACACAGTATGTCAACATACGCATATTAGTCATTAGTGGGATAAGATAGTTTTGACCTGATCATTGAGGTTGTTGCTGAGACATGTCAGGGACCACTTTTCTTTTCCACGGTTTCTTGTTTAAATTTTTGCTCAAGACGACTCCAGTCAAGCATGTATACACAGCCATTTTAGCTGGCTGGAGCAGTAGGGCTCTGATAAAATACTGTTGTGTAAATGCAGTAATAGTTTCCAAGGATTTGTAATGAAATTGGCCCTGGAATGACTTGTTAGGATAAGTTTTAAATACAATATGCTCCATATCTAATATGTTATCAATAGTCACACTGTTGCAATTAGCAGCATCCATAAACATTGAATAATAATAATAATATCTTTATTAAAATCGTATCCCGAAGTGGGATCTTAGTTGAAAATACAATAAAGTAATACAAAAAGATAGCAAAAAAAAATACAAGACATTCACAGACAATTGAATAAAGAAATGAAGCGAAGCGGGAAAAAAAAATAAATTATTTGGTGGTTGGTTTGTTGTGGCATCTGGCATTTAGGATTATAACCTGCAGTCACTAATTCACCCCGACATGTTATTTCTGTCTAAATACATACTTCTATATACATAAAATAAAAGTGTCAAAAATGGAGAATTTTAATTGAAGTCAGCAAGTCTTCTCTGTAATATAATTGTGTACCAGTATAGTGCAGCACTATATTATTGGATGTGGTATTGTTGTATGATACAAATATATGGTACTAAGCCAACACCATTTTCTTTCAAATCCAGATCCTGTAAAAAACAGACAAAAAAAACTTTACAAATGTATAACAATAATAAAATACATAAAATCACTGCAACAATAATAATTCAGTTCTCTCAAATGTACATTTAAACAAATGGGTAGTTGTAAATTATGGAAAATACTCATATTAACGTAGCTAGTTCAGGTTATTTGAAAATTGCAATTAGATAAACAGTGGAGTTACACCATCAAAATACCGGGCGGTAAGTAAATTTTAAAAATTCAGTTATTTGGACATTCAGACATTGACACTTTGATTTAGCAAGTCATGGGATACTGTCACATGTGTTAACCTCCATGATATATCCAGCTTGCTACAAAATTAGTATAATGCTTTGGCAGTATTGCTACTCACAGAGTAGGGGTTAACTTCCCACAGCTGCTAGTTCTTAGTATTGTGATGACTTTGGCTTTTCCAAAATACATGTAATTGCAAATGCTATTCTTAATTTCCCTGGTCATCTTTCACTTTTCACCAATGCTTGCTGTCGTTCCATAACTATCAACTCTAATGAAATGTAATTGTCAATGTCCAATTTCACTCTATCATCAATAAGTTTAAAGTATTCTTTGTCAATAATGTGAGAAAATGTTTTGCACAATTCAGACATGTGGAAGTTTTGGAAGCAAACGAAACTAGTTTTAAGCCAGCAGGTTTACTAGTTTTCAATGGATAATAACATAATACATGTACCGGTACCTAAAAATAAGAGCCTATTGCATCCACTTAGCCCAAAATAATTGACTTCATTATATGTTTTTAAGAAGTGAATCATATATATACAGTAAATGTGTCTAAAATAACTGGTTGAGCTGCTGGTACCCGGCATACTGTAAAACATGTTGAAAAAGCTACATGCAATTTTAGCGAATTGTGGTAGAATGTTGATTTAGCGAATCTCTCTTGTCATTGTTGATTTCCTGTTTTCACAATAATTGTCTGTCGCGTGCCAAAACAAATGCGCAGTTATCATCTCCATAAAAACAAAGAAAAACTGTCAAGTGTAATTAGGAAGCGCCCAGATTTTTATGTTCCAAATTACTGTATACAAATCCCCAAGTCTTGGCCATTTTGAATTTATAATAAAGTCATTAGCGACATCTTGAATTAGTGAATCAGTTCTCTCGCTAAATTCGCTAAAAAGACATGCTTGTGAAAAAGACATGTTTTACAGTCATGTATATCCTGTTTAGTGCCGTACTACATGTTGTAACATTGTCTGAAATGTTTCATGTTCACAGTAATATTTGTTTTTGTGAGTCAGAAAAATGGCCTTCAATTTGCCTCCTGCAACAGCGGACATTTTGTTGCTCATAATTTGAAAAAAATTTGAATGAGAATTAATGGTACAATGAAAGACATAAAGCTGGGGGATGTTATAAAAGTTTCATAAATATAATTTTTGCAAAAATCAAAATCATTAATGACTTGTTGAATTCAAATTGACCAATCTAAAAACGATACAGCCTCATCACATGTGCTAGTAATGATTTAATGAGTTCAATATCATTCAATCAGTATCTTTTGAATAATTGGGAGCTTGCAATTGCTATGTGTAGGCAATATGGAGCTCTCGTGCCAATCATTATTTAATATTTGAATTTGAATGAAAGCTGATTGATATTTACAAATTGTTATAAATATGTTTATGAAATAAGGTAAAGCTGTATACCATAAATCATTTAATAACAATTTCAGAATGTTCTATTGAAATGTTCATTGCTATAAAATTTCATGATTTTTCAGAATATTTGTTTTCTTGTGAAATTAAACAATATTGTATCATTTGTTTAGAGTGTGTATTTTGAAGTATATCCGACGCTCACCCCAAGCTTGCCAATGTCAAACTACATAATTTTGTTTATTGTTTGTAACCAACAGCATTTGGTCTAAAAATTATCAAAGAAAATATAGAACTATTGCATTACTGTATGATTATTTTAAACAGCAGTCAGGATAGGATTCTAAATTGTCAGCTTTCCTCACACTTCTTAGATCTTATCTAGCAATTGATGTAGGTGTTAATTGATACATAATTTATTGATATCATTTCAATACCCATTCAGTGTGGATATTCCGGTAATAATCAGTACGCAGTGATAATTCAAGGATAGGTTCTAAGTGAATTCATAAACGAAGAAGGAAAAAAATATTAGCAAATATTTTCCATATATAAAATAATAATTATGTAAATTTAACAAATTCATCTTAGGATTTTAAATAAATTTTGGACAAAACTAAATTTGCTAATGGCAGAGAGCATAGAATAGTCAATCCACCAATCCAAATAGACACTTAACAAAAGGCATCTTCGTTCATTATATTTTAAAAATTACTAGAAATAAAGACTCAATTTAACAGTAATGTCACTCACAACTTTTAGGAGCATTGTTTTCCAGAATACTAATCAACACTACATTCTCACCAAGGACAGTTATTGTTTCTGTTTCCTCCTCATTAATAGTTTCCATGGTGACAATGAAAACCTGTTAATCGTGTCGCAAATGACCTTGCAATTGGGCTGTCATAATTTTTCCACATCTGTGTTCAGTTAGAGTTCATTGACATTTATTTTGCACCTGTATAAGGGGTGCATCAAGTATCTTATTGTACAACCATATTTCATGTCATCATCAGAGGTCTACATGTATATACTAGTACTGTAGAATCTGTATTCAAAGCTGTGACTTCTATTAGGATTATACAGTGTAACAGAGGGGATATGGCTAAACATATGAGAAATTGTGAATTTTAAATTTTAAATTGTAAAACAATGGTTGCAGCTTCTATTAAGGATAACAATCGTAATATAAATTTTACAGTCCTGGCAGAAATGTGGACATCTGAGAGTATGTGGATCCAAAATTTGATAAAAAATAATAAGACCAGTAAAAAAAAGAATGTACAAGTTATACAAATCTTCCGATTTGTGGGAAATCTTACAAATCCCTTCAACCCCCTCCCCATAGATTGGAAATGTACGTGAAGGTGTGTAGACAATTTAACATTAAAGAGGGAAGCAACAGGTGGTGATTCAGCACCAGTTACAAATTACTTGTTACCTGTGTGTCAGTTTTAATGTTCAACAGCCCCTAAACATGTATATTTTTATTGAATGTACATGTAATAAGACAGCCCAGGAAGTTGCGAGTACCTACTCGCAAATGCGCCTAAAAAATACGTCTATGCGAGTAAAAACTTTTAAATATCCGCATTTAGCTTGCAGTTTTCAGAAACTACTCGCATTTTGCGAGTGAAAATTGAAGCAACTGAAGCATGCCGTGCAGGCATCAGACTAGACGGATACCGTGCATTTTTGAATATTTTACGATGTACTCGGAAAGTCTAGTTTCAGGCACATGGCAAGTGTCATGTTGCAATTGAGAGCGTACAAGCCAAAATTAAAAAATAGTAACATTGTAAATATGTGATTGGCAGTTTTTGTTTCTAGTCAAAATACGGGCATACAGGTTTTTTTTAAATGA